CTTTGGCCTCGCCCGTCAGAAGGGAGGGAAGGAGGTGAGGGGAGCGGTGAGGGTGGGAAACCTGGGTGTCTCCCGCCTCGGTGTCCCAGAGCCGAAGCCCTCGCGTCCTGACGGGAGCTGCGCGGGTTTCCACGCGCACACGCGCCTTGTCCCAGTGGAACAAAAATAATTGTATTTTCCTGTTAATCGCTTTGAAGCGGGCGCTGCTGACCCTGGCAGATGAGGAGCTGCGGTCGGGCAGGTGACTGCTGTCAGCCCGGGGGTAAGTAGTAACTGGCCCCGGAGAGTGTTGAACGCAGGGTCTGGGACGGGGAGTGGGCAGCGGTTGTGCTGCCAGAGCTTGCACAAATACTGGGAAACCTTTTTGCAGTGTAGGAAGGATCGTGTTTTAGAGCTGAGGTTTGGGTTTAGCTATTGTAGTGGTGTTTGGTGTGCAGAATATGCAGTGCTTCAAAGCTACTAAAGCAAATAACCTGTTCTGCCTGATGCAAATGGTTACAGGTTGTGTAAATTCTAATCAGGTATTTAGTAAACATGTAAAAATGTAGAAAATTATCTCATCTGGAGATAGCTAAAACCTCCCTGGACACATTCCTGTGCAACGTGCTCTAGATGAACCTACTGTAGTAGGGAAGTTGGACTAGATGATCTCCAGAGGTCCATTCTACCCCCTACCATTCTGTGATTAGAAAGGCATGACTACAGGTAGCATTGAAAGTATAAAAACATTCAAAACCATATGCTTAACAGTAGACTTCCTTGCAGAAACTTACCATCTTACCTCCATCCAAATAAAAAAATCACACCAGAGCTATGAGTACCTTGGATTTCGTACAAATACAAAAGGTATTTTTATTTATTCTTTATTGACCAAGGAGCTGTGTAAAAAGTTTAAAAAGATCATGGTTTAAAACAGTGGTTTTCACACAGTGTAGTTGATGTTGCAATTTCTCTGCAGTTAGTAGTTTTTTCGGTACTATATACAGCTAACACAGTATCCTTATCTACTGGTCCAGGTGGGACAGCCTACATCACTCAAAAAAAAGCTGTAAAAAATCTGACAATTCATAATATAGCCATTTTATATCAGACCATGTTCTTGTTTGGACAACAAACAACCTCCCCCACCTACCCCCCACCCCCAACAGGTAAACGTTTCTGCTCCAGAAAACACTCAAATACTTGATACAAAGAAAAGAGCAGCCTGGTTTTGTTTCAATTTTTTAGTAGTGCTGGCATATGCATCTTTGTTTAGGGAAACAGGAGTAGCTTCCCTTTTCCTAAATTTAATTTTCTTTTGCATTACTGAACACTGTTAAAGACATTCTGAGGTGTGACTGCAAGAAGACAAGATTGTGTTGCTCTGTGAATTTAATCTCATACAAGCTGTGTAAGAAATTTTTAAAAAAGAAAAGAACTGACAATACCAAACAAACCACTCCCCCAGAGCTTTGAGGCCACTGTTGATCAGCTTTAACTGAAAGAATTCTGGCTTGCATTTACATAAAAATACTAATTATGACCATAAAACATGCGTAAGACCATCTCTATGTACAGTTCTGCATTGGTAGGAAATAGTTTTGTTGTAAGAATTTTGACAAATTGCAAGCCTATAAATTGGAGTGATGCAGAAATAAATGATCTCGTACATGGATTAAACACTAGTTTGAACATGAAGTTAAATGCCTCATAGTGAAATCCCGCAAGTGTTGCTTCGATGACACAGGAAATGGAGAACTAGCACCTTTTTTTTTAACATGTGCTTTATTATTTGGAAGTCTCATACATCTGAAGTACCATTATAAGGAGCACCTGTAGGAAAATCAAACCTAGAAGCATGCATTTGAAAGTAAGGATAGTCTGTTATTAATGAAATATTTCAAAGACATTGAAAATAAGTCTCTTTTCTTAGCTTTACAGGATTGTTCCACAAAAATGCACATTAACCTTATCACAGTACATACAAATATTGTGGATGGACAATAGAAATCACCACCCTTCCATATGAGATGCATCAAGAACAAATTGTTATCCCTTATAATGTCAGAAACATAAAAGGCACCATAATAGAATGTTTAGAAAAAAACTCAGTTTATGCTATTGTATTTTGATTTAAAAGTGTAAGAATTGCTGTCCTGACAAAACAAAAAGCCTTTCACACCTGTAAATTATCATTAGAAACTTGTAAACCTTTACATTTTTCCAGAAGTATCAGGTGCAAATGCAAGGCAAATATAAAATCTATTGACTTATTAGATTACAAATACTACCCCATGAAAAAGTTGTAGTTACAAAAATATAAAAAATATTCTAACTCCTGTTGTTAGATCTTAGCTTCAACCTACACTGCATTACAAGTCCAAAGCCAGATCCGATTTGGACACATTCCCAGAATTGGAAAGTGCTGTTTGTCTTATTTTTACATCAATATTCTGACCTCTTACTATGGTTTTGCTTTCTGGATATGTTTTGTTAGTGCACATTAAGGATGCCAAGTGGAAAGTGGTAACAGAGAGAAGGTTGTATGTCCTAATGGATAGTAGCAACGTAAGTCTCCTCAGTCTGCTGTCCTCCAAGAAGTCCATTTCTCCAAGGATAAAAGTCTAATTTTTTTCTCCGAGCCTGCATAGTAACTGTGTAGCAGCGTGCCATTTTCATTGATGAACTTGTGACCACTGGTAGGTGAGTGAGAAGCACTAGGTTATTCTCACAGACTTCAGTTAGGAACTGTGAAAAGCACACAAACTGCTCGTGCCTTGTCATAAACTAGTAGCTGCTGTTGCAAGGACAATTATTTGCAACATCTTTTGTCTTCCACACGTGATAGGTTGGCACGTGCTTTATCCATATGGTGATTCTTTAGCCCTTGGCTTTAGGAGCCTGGATCAGCATAGGATATTGGAACAGCTACAAAGGCAGCCTAACAAAGTGCTAGTAGACATTCAAATGAATTTAATTATAAATAATAACTTGAAGTTAATTACTAGATTAAATGAGATATTCTTAATGAATAAATTTGATAAATGCTGAGCCTAAGCCTGAAAAATGCTAATGCTTTCACGGCTGAATACTGGAAGCTATGTTCCTTCAGTCCTTTATCAGTGCTAGCAGAAGGTGTCCAGCTTCCAACTCTAGAGAAACAGAAGCCTTTTGTTGTGTAGGGATTGATAAGAGTAATACAGCTTGCTCTTAGATAGCAACCTGGTTTAGTTGGGTTTTAACAAGTGCTCAGGATCATTCAGCCAACGGTATGACTGCAGAAGATTTAAGAGTGAGCTGTACTATCGTTAGCTTTATGCTTGGTGCAAGACATTCTTTAAATATCTCTTCCTTCATTAGAAACTACCCCATCATTTCTTCTGGTAGCAACATTTGTTAGTCCTTGCCAGTTCAAGCTGAGTTTTAGCCAGTTAATGGGTCTCTCAGCCACGTGCTTCCAAGCAGATGTTCTCCACAGATAAAGCAGTTCTGAAACAGCGTTGTGCTGTACCCTGCGTGAAAGAAGGGACAGCACTCACGGCTGCTTTGAAACAGCATCTCACTGTTCCATGTCTATGAAAGATGCATAACAGGAGACTCCTGGAGCTGTTCTGAGAGGACGTGTTCAGTGCTTTGATCTTATGCTGGGATAATATGTTGAATAGCATATGAATAAGAAGCTAATGTTCCTCATGTTTCAATTTTATAAAATTAGGGTTTAAGCAGACACCATGTTCACTCCTCTGAACAACCTGTATATTCCACTCAGATTGTGCTGTGATGGCAGGATTTCTTTTTAACAGAAGTTCAAAGGTATCTGCACACATCTGCCAAAGATTTTGTTGTTGGTTTGTTTTTTGTTTTTTTTTTTTAAATAAGGACACTGTTCCTAAACGCTTTATCAGATTTGGAGAAGACTTCATACTTAAAGCAACAAAAACAATAAACCAAACAATACCTGTGGTGTAGGCTTTGGAATTTTTGTTTGGTAGAATTTTAAGATGGAAACATGTTTCCAGCTAAACAACTGCTCTTGGCATTTCTGTTTTGTAAAGAAAAATCCCACACAACAGTAGTCTTAATGAGCAACTCTCCCAACCTATTGAGTCAAAAGCAAGGCACAAATCATTTACTGACTCTTTCATCTCACCACTTTCTTCACGTTCTCCTCTTCCCCTTAAAAAAAAAAGTTGGTATAACAATGTCTTCTATACTAGATGTTAAATTTAATATTCAAATAAGTTGTAGCAGTATCCAAGATTGGTTCTATCTATTTTGAATTTAGTTAAATTAGATGAACAGCACATTCTTAGCACATCTTTGTTAATTTTCTGGATTCAGCTTGGAAGTGGAGGAGATGAAGGGAAAAAGCCACAGTAGTTTCATGCATATTTTTCAAGAAACTTTATGTGGAAGTCTTTAACTTTCTCCAGTAAGATCTTCAGCTTCTCTACTGGAGGAAGAATGGTCATTCTGAAAAATAATATTTAAAGGAAGAAAAAAAACAACCCATATTATCTTCAAAAAAAACTGTGATCTTTGCACAGATTTTGATTAATCTCAGGGCATAGCTAGTAATGTGTTAATTTTAATATCTGTTTTGATGTGGTTCTCTTATCTTCTGCATTTATGCTTTAATTGAACTATACTATTAAACTAGAGCAATTTGTTTCAATTGCTTAATATATAGGAATTCCAGAATTATTATTTTCAGTTAAGTGATAAAGCAGGTTGTCAGTAAGAACAGCAACTCAGTTTCCATTTTTGGGGCAGTTATGCCAAATTATACCTAGTTTTTTGAGGTTTAAGGGCAGGCAGAGTAAATGTACATTTCTTTTTCAGTTGAAAACTTAATTCATAAGCATTAAAACAATGCAACGTCCCACACTGCGGTTTTTAGTCCCTTTTTTTCTTCTTTTGCATAATCTGAAAATCATGTTGTGTATGTATGTAAGACTAGAGAACAAAACATTTTTCCAACACTGGTACAGGAAGGGACTCACAGTAGCTTTTCTCTGGAGCTGCATGTACACAGGCACCTATTCAGTGCTGCAGAACTCTCATGGCTAAAGGCCTCTGTTACATTGCTTCAGACTGAACAAGGCTAAATTCCATGATAAATTCTAGCTATCAACTGTACTGGAAGGAAAAGCAGCAGACTTTATGTTCACAGTTTTGATATTAGAAGATACTAGAAGTCCATCTTGTTTTGGTAAAGTGAAGAGTTATTCAGCGTGTTTAAGGAGCAGATTTATAGGGAAGATACTGCATCTTTTATACAGTCTCTCTGTATGGAAACACTGTTTAATCCTCCCGTCTCACCAGAAGAAAGCAGGGCAGTTTTTGTAATGCCTTAGCCACCTTTAGAGTACAACTTATTACTATTGTTTGTATTTGTGGAGAAGGCATTTCAAATGTCAGAATCTAAAAATAGAATAAAACTATGTCAGCAAGCTGTGAAAAAACCTGTAAAAACCTGAATAGCTCATCTAGCAGATCAGGTCTTTGACCTAGCTGTTAGTCCACAGAAAATGTCCTATAGAAAGTGAGACAACATAAATTGAAATAAAAATCCTTATATTTAATCAGAAGAGAAAGCACTGGGGTACTACTTAGCTAGTTATGCTTCATTTGATTTTAAACAAACAGAAACTGTACCTGAAATGGTAGCTTCCTTCTCTTTGGCCGAATCCACTTCCAGGTACAACACATATTCCAGTCTCTTCCAGAAGTTTCATGCAGTAGAACATATCAGGTGCCATTTTATGAGTCTAAAACAATGGATGCTTTGGAATTATCAAAGTCAAAATACTCCAAATATATAGATGTTCATGATTGCCTTTCTTCCTGAAACCTTATCTTACATTATTAGCTTCTTATTATTTTCAATAAAAAGACAAAGAAAATTGCTAACAGGACAATTCACACTGTGAATTAAATAACAATACTTCATGGAGGAACATGGCTGAAGAACCTACATAAAGCACTCACTTCAAATGAAAGGTTTGAGGTATTTTGGTTTTCTCCTTGACTTGCTTGTAACTTTTTGTCAAAAGTTGCAAAGCTGTACTTAGAAAAATCTAAGCCATTGACATTTGACAAGATGAAATTAATTTGAGAGCTGTGTGTTCCAGTTCTGTTGGCAGTTACTATTTTTTTTTCTCCTGAATTATCTGCTGACTAGAAAATACTTTGATTAATAACTATAGAAGTTCTTAAATACATGCAGGTTATATGCCTAACCAAATAATCAGCTGGAAAACAACCCTATTTGTGTCCTCAGCTATGCTGATAAAATTCCTTTTAAAAATTAATATTACATGTTAGCTAATAGAGTTCTAGTTAGGAACAAAATGACTTGACATCTAGTAATACAGCTTACTGACCCAAATACAAAAAGGAATCGTACAAAAGTAAAATTTATTTTAAAATCTCCCTCCCTCTTTCCCAGACTTGCTGAAGCCTTTTGCAGGATCAGTAGCACCTTGGCGCTCACAATCCGCGGTGCACAGGCTGGTGTGCCTGACCCAGGCATGGGCAGCAATTTAGAATTTGCAAAGGTCCAGCTACTTGCCCGCTCTATGACTTAATCTATTTAACCCTATCCTCCTTGGGTAACATTCTCAGCCTGGAAGCCTCACCACTTGGATGAAATTTGTTTTCCTCTCTTAAAATAAAGGTCATGTTGTATTTAAAATCATATGTAGTCAATGAGGTACTGCTTTCATAACTTCATTAGCTTACTCTATCTCTGGAATAAAAATTTGTCATTAGAAGTGGCAGGGACAAGTCTGTGAACCTTAAGATGAATTTGGGTAAAAATGACTGACCTTTGCTTCCTCAATGGCTTTGGAAGGAATAAAAATCCGTGGGAAAGCATACATAGCTCCCTGAAGTGGATTGCAGTGAATTCCTGGGACCTTATTAAACATGTCTTCTGTTAGTTTGGCTTTTTTGGCAAGATTGTTCAAAACAGACTCCTTCTCCTGTTTAAAAGGAAAGTGTTCAGTTTTACATTTTTGAAATGGCAATAAAAACATCAGAGAAAACTACAATGCTTCAGGAAGCCTCCCCTGAATTAAGCACTTATAGGGCTTTGCTGAGCTATTAGAGCAAATGATGTTCCAAATTCCAGTCACGCTCTTAAAGACAGCAGTGCAAAAAGCTATTAGCAGGATACAACTAAAAGGTGTTGTAGATAGACAATAATCTGCAGAAGTCTCTATATCTGCACACCCCCTTCTTATACTCTTCCTTCTGAGCATCAGCTCCTGACTCTTTTTAGAGACTGTGTTAGCTGAACCTTTGGTCTGACTCAATACTCTATAACCCACATTCAGTTTCATTTTCAAAAGTGAGAAACTGTATGTGTACTTTAACACATGTTGTTCAGTATATAGAGGCAGTGGGTACCTAAGAACAAGGCTGATTTTATAACTCTATTTGAACTTGCATTCCTGTTTTGATTTTAGTAAAAGCAAATCTTAATTAGTAATTACTCTGTCATGCTAAACACAGGAGAAAAGTTACATTTATCAGCAAGATAGCTGATTCGATAGTGCCGCATTAGCTTTTTTTTGGCTACTAAACAAAGGAACCATAACACGAATAAAAAATATTTTTAAAGGTAGTCATACTAAGTTAATTTAAAATACTTTGCACAGTTCTGTAAATTGGTGCTATTACAGGATTGTCCAAGAAGAAAGGAAAGCAGTCTGGGTTTTTTGAGTTCACTCTATCTAGGATAGGTTTAGGAAATGCAGGAGTTAAGAGCAAGCGTGTTGTTGCTGACCTTTATGAACTGCGAATAAGATTCTTCTCCAGGGACCGGCGGATTCACTACAATATCCATTGCTGCTTGCCCTGAGACTGGAGGACAAAGGCGAACAGAAAGTAGCTTAACAAGCTGTCCTTTAATTTCTGGGTGCAAGTTAATGACCTCCATGTAACCTCCTCTGTAGCCACATCTGTGATTAAAGTGAACAGAAAAGATCAGTTAACCTCAAGTGTATAAATACTGGAAAACAATGAAAATAACTGCAGATGTGGAAAGACAATTAATGAGTATCTTACAATATATAACATACGGGTTGTTGAAACGGCTGCTATACTGATAAGGTCTTAAGATGGAACTCTAAGCCATGCTATCCTATACGGAGAAAATCGTGTACATGCAGCTTCCCTGTTAGGCAAGTTAACAATTAACTTGGATTGTTTGTTCTTCAGAACAAGAGCATATGGCTGTAGCAGCGTTCATTTAATCAGAAAATTCTTTTCCCCCTGTCTCTTCCTCCCCAAAACAACCAAACCCAAACATTTGTAATAGCCAATGTCTCAGCAACTCTTGAGCTGTTTCCCTTGAATATTGGAGAGAATATTTTCCTTTATCGCAGGTCCAGTTTAGGACTGTAGGATTTCACCTTTGCGGAACTGAGGGACAAAGTGTCTGAAATAGATACATGTATTATGCAGCACTTTCAAAACCACTAAGCTAATCCATTACTCTGTTCTTTAATGCTTGTTTTCATTTTATTAATAGTTTTTAGTTACAATTAATAGAAGATAGTGGATTACCTTCAGGTCACTAACATGAAATGGCTGTCCAACCAGATTAATGAGGAAGATGAAATAATAATAAAAACAAACAAACAAACAAAACTAAAGCAGACTTACTCGCCCATGTATCCCTTAGAGGTGGAGTGAAAAGAGGCCAGCTCAACAGTGTTATAGTACTCGGGTCCCATCTCATACAGAATCTTTTTGAAAGAATGGAACTGGCATCCTTCAGAGTACACATTGTCCTGGTAAACCTGAACAGTCAGAAGACATTAATGTGCTCTGTTCCCCCAACTAAGGATAAAAGATGGCCTTTGAGAGAGACAGATCTGAACTGAAGCAGCACTCAAAGCTATGAGAAGACACAAGGTTCTTTGTTAAATAATAGTTACAATAATGATATATTTTATCTTATGTGGCCATAGTTATTAGTTTAACCTTCAGAAGAACAATGAGCTACTTTGTATAATTTAACCTTTACTTGTATGTTTAAATGGATTTCCTTCTGTTTCCTTCATTTGAATTGGACCGAGTATCACAGAGGTTTTCAGGTCAGTTCCAGCAAAGTTCCTCCTTGTGTCTCTTTGCCTGCATCCCCTACACTTTCTCTGTACTTCAAATCCAGATCAAACCATGTCTCATATTAATCCTCTGATATTAAGAATCTTGCATGTTTGTTCATATCTTTATCTGATAACAGAGAATCTGTTCCCTGTACTTAAAAAATAGAAATACCACACATGAAACAAAATTATGCCTCGCATGTACTCCTCGCTGTGCTTTTGAGAGAACATAAAATTCCATTACCTCATCAGCCAGAAGAAAAAGTTTCTCTTCCCAGGCAAAGTGTATCACATCTTCAATGCACTTTCTGTTTTGCACCTGTCCTATAGTTTAATTTTTAAAGCAAGAAGAAAGTTACTGGAGCATATACAAAACCAAATCTTGTCACCAAACCTAGTTAGACTACTAGATTTTCAATAAAATTTATCTGTCTCAGAAAAGTGCTATTGAATATTAGAATTCAATTCACAAAGTGTGAAATTAAGGAACATTTTTGGAGGAATTATGCTTCAAGGTAACTTAGTCCATCTCAAGAAAAGAATGTGAGATACAGTAATCAATCAATAACTTATTAACAGTACTCTTTATAACTCATCGTATGATGATTAAGTGGGAGCTAGTTTCTCACTAATCAACCTCAAACATGCAAAAAACAATTCTTCTGAGGGAGGCAGCAGTTGCCACTGAGTTCAGAGTGTGTCTCTAGTCATCATCTCTGAATCAAGAAGCTACATGCTGTCAGAGACAAGATCTTTGATAAAGACCAGAAGTGACTGAATGTCATTCCACAAGTCTGCAAAAGTTCAATGGACGCCACTTCAAATGGGATCTAGTGAAGTGAACCTGCTCCCTCCTCTCTTCCCAAATCCCTGGAGTTCTATGATACTGAAAATGTTTTTGAAAGCATGAAATAGTCCTACTTAGGGCACTGATCTCTAGAACTCAGCTTTACATATTTGATATGTATTTAGGATTTATCAAATGGGTGAAAAATTTTTTAAAAAATTTTGTCTAAAACCTCATTCATTAAACAAAATTGCTACAGACCTGTGGGATTTCCAGGGTTGATGATGCAGAGGACTTTTGGATTGCAGTACGCCTTAGCTTCATTCAAGGAACGACGAAGTTCATTAACATCTAGGGCCCAGCAATTTTCTTCATCCAAATAGTAGTTCACTTGGATAGCATCTAGTTCAGATATGGCTGCTGAATATAAAGGATATTGTGGTATAGGGATCATCACTCCTGTTCGGGATCTTCCACCTCCTGAGACCAGGATCTTTAAAATTGTCTGAGGAAAAAGTAGGAATTGAAAAAAGAGTCATGAACTAGAATTAATAGTGTACTCTACAAGGAGTTCCTGGTCTTCCTTCTTAAAAATTCTAGAGTTAGGTAGATTTCTAATTCTAGAAGCATACAGTCATTTTCTCATATCAAAGGGCATTTATTTGTTTCCAGTTAATTACTGGCTGAGTGAGAATGGTCTAACTCAGCATAATGGAATTCTTCTGCATGTCAGGGCTTCTAAAGATCATGTCTGATCAACTGCAAAATTTAGGAAAAACGTTCTGAGCACAAAGCTAGAGGGAAAGTTTGAAACAGGAATATCAAGATCATGATTTTTCTGCTGTGCCCAGTTGTAAGAAAAGGAGGCTCAGCTAGTTGTTGCTTGCTGCCTTCCACTCATTTTATCTCCTTAAACACAAGAGGCCAATAAATAAAACTAGAAATTAGAACTGGGGCCTGTGGAGGTTCTCCTCTGGAGCAGAGAGACCTGTTGTTGATTGCAAGCAATTGTGGCCAGGTGGGAACAAAGCTAGGGTCTTGCATTATGGTTTCATTTTCAAGTAACAGAATTCTGAGCCCAAAAGTCTACATGTGCCTTGGGATGGAAGTCTAATGTATCAAATGTAGTTTATGCCCACAAGATTCGGACAGAAATGTCATACTTATGCTAAAGTCAGTCCAGAGGATTTGCCTGTGTCCAATGGCCATGTGTTTGTGTGGGTTCTATGTGTAGGTTTTTTCCATGTGAGTTAAGTAGGAGAGTGCATTTGGTGCAGGAAGTGGAGAGATTCCTTGCCTTTATAATCAAGGGAGAGTTCTGAAGTACAGGTGCAATCAAAGCAGGCATCCTTATCAACATGTCATTAGTAGTGTAAGAGCAGAAATATCTCAGCGGTATCCTCATTTCTCATTGGTTCTAGAACAAAATCTGACTTTCTGTGCCTCTCACCACATACTAAGTCAGCTGCTAAGCTAATGATTTATAATCAACATAATTTTGTACCCACCACTAGTTTAAAAATACTAAGTATGCAAAATGTATAATCATGACAAAATGCAAAGTAAGAAACTCTTTAACACCCTCTGTCCTCCAAGCTATGAAACAATAGTTGTTTTATCCTTGGAAGTGCCAAATAATGAGACTGATTGTACTGCTGAGTTTTCATCACTGGTGAAATCAAATAAGCATGGTATGGATTTGATATGCTACACTGCCATTCCTGACAAGTTGCCAGTACAACACTTGGCATCATAAACTCTGGAAAGCTAATTCACTGAAAACACCTGAACAACTGTTCCTGTCATTTTGATTTCTGCCACTAGATGTCATTTATTTAAAAAAACTTTTACAAACAAGCTATAAAAAGCTGCCTTAATAAAAACAAAGAATGACTGGTGGTTGTAGTACCAGTAAATGTGTTTGTGTAAAGGAGAAATCTAATACAGTTATTCTTGTCTTAACTAAGGACCATCTTTGAACCTCGGTTGAAGCCAAACCCTGAAGATCTTCCTGAAGTGCTGGGGTTAAACCCCCAGCCCTAAACAAGGGTTGGCATATGGATGATGTCCAAAACCAGGCAATAAAGTCCTTCCTGATCGGTTTTCACCCAGGGTCTGGCCGGCCTTGGGTGAGAACCAATTAGGATATCACCACCAGTTGCCCCTGTCTTCCACATTACCTTGGAGGCGGGGCAATAAGCCACCTCTATGAGACGTAACTCTGCTTATAGTGAAGTTGGGAGGTTGGTTTACACAGTGGGTGTGCTGTGTGTGGATTCTGGTTATTAAAAGGGCTCCCAGACTCTTCATGGCAAGTGGAGTTCCCAGGGTGGTGAGGCCAGAACATGAAGCTGTCTCTAAGATGCTACTCTATAACTGGGCTCATGGTCTGGTTGCTACCATTGCCCATGGCTTGGCTCCTTGCCCAGCCTGCTCCCTTCTTCATGTCCACTGTGGTGGGTGAGTGGCTTGACTTGTTCCTTCCTCTGGTTTTCTGGCACCTTGGATCTTTGGTGTATGATGTGTGAGCAGAGGGAGGTGCTCGGCTGCTGGTCTGCCCATTAATTATAATTTCATTCTATATTGGGCAAGCAGTCAGCAGAAGACTTCCCAAACAAACTGGCTACTGAAATAGATCTTTGGGATTTTCACTTGCATTAATCTGCACTAACAGAGAGTTTTCTAAGCAGAACTGTAGAGACTTCTTACCTCCAAGGTCATTCCCTCTTCTCTCTGCTACTGATTCATACATTCTAATCTTCAGTGCTTATGTATCTTAACCACTGAGGACACCATTATTTACTACAAATGATCTGAATCTCCTTAATTTATATTTAGGCACCTATGTATTTTATACTACATTTACAGTGATACAGCTTAATGTATATTAAAAGACTTTGTCTCCATATGCCTGTTTCTTAGCTGGCATCTCATGTCCACATAAATGAGTATAATTGGAAGATCCATTTAATGTGAGTTTTGTATCAGATCAAAATCCCAGGAGTTTGTAAGACCAGACATTCAACAGAGATCTGTATTTCCAATGGTAATATAAATTTTAGTTCATGCCAAGAGAAGACAGGTTTCATTTTAACACTTACAGCAATACCATCACTTGCCCCAGTGGTAAGATATATGTTATCTGGATCTGCAGGAACCCCACCATCTCTTCTTTTAATATATGAAGCAACATCTTCACGGATGCAATTTATACCTTGACTGGCACTGTAAGATCCTGTGAAAAATAGAGCGTGAGGTGAGAATTTAGTGCAATGAACATGAAATTTTCTGTTTGCTAGCGAAACTCCTGAGCTAGCATTGTATGAAATAGTTTGTAGGTATCTGGTAGGGGCTCTGTATCCCCAGGATTGTTTTTTTTCCTTTTCAAGGAGTAGGAAAGGGAGTTGGTTTGTTCATAGAGGAAAATAATTAATTTGGAATTGGACAAATACAATATGTATTGCTAAAATAAAAGAAAAAATAATGTGCTGGCTTTGTAAAAAGTAGGATTTAAAGGCTACTTTGCAAAATGTGACAGCAATCCCATTTTGACTATCGCCCAGTTGCTTTCTTTATGTTGAAAACCACTTCAGAATGTCAAACACCACCTATTTAAGTAATGGGAATAAGGAACAGAGGTAGTATGTGCAATAGAAAGGAAAATAACTTCTTCAAATCCATGACAAAAATAAGATTTCTATTTCCAATATGAAAATAATATAATACCATTTTCTTCCACAATCTGAAACCCAAAAAATCCTAAACTCGCTCTGTCTCCTCCCACAGCATCTCCCACAACCACTTTCCAGTCACTTGCAGCAGAAACATCCAAGACCACACCAATCTATAAGCCTCATGGACAGTTTACAGGACACAACTGATAATCTGAAAGTAAGATTTGAGATGCCCGTGTGCATCATTGCTGAGAATGTGCAACAAATAAAGAGTAAAAATAAGCCTAAACCAAGGTGAGGAATGGATTCAAGCTACAAAGCCTAAGACTGATGGACAGTGAAGTGACAAGTGTATATCTAAATTAGAACATTGTCATGAAGCTGCAAAATCTTCTTTGCTTGTTGGGTGGAGTGGAATAATTGTGCCTGACTTAACTCTCATCACTCAGTTATACGCTAGTAGTCTGCCCGATAAGAGTTCTATGAAAGCATAATTTATAAAGACAAAGGACCTTTGCAAGTACTGCACAATTGTATGGCACAAAATCGTAATTCAGGACACAAAGTTCCCTGATGTCCTAAATGTTTACTTTTACAGGAGTAAAAGTTACATTTGGTCTATATATGGGTCTTTGCCCACAGCTAGGAAGCTGCTGTTAAAGTAGGAGAACAAGCCTAAGCTGTCATTTTGTCTTGTGCTCCATTGAGGTCTGGGTCCCATGACTCAGTGAGGATATACAGAAGGCCTGAATTCAATTTCCAGGTCTCCTACACTTAATTGTACTCAGTTGATAGCTTTGACTAGAAACCATCTCCTTGCACTGTGGGATGCAAATAAATAAACCAAACCCAAAAAGTTCCATGTGCATGTATTACATACTTTTATACATAGGAGAGAGGTAAATTTCTCAACTGCCTGGAAAGATATGCCAGTTATCCCACATGCAAAGTAAGCGATAGCACAGGAATCCCAGAGTATTTGAACACATGAGAAGCTGAGCCTTCATATGTGGTCTGGGAGCAGCAAGACTCATAATACTAGGAGTTTGGTTTTGCCAAATGAACATCTGTTGTAAGCGAGGTTATTCTAGTTCATATCCAGAGGTCAAGACATTCATATTAACTTTGCAATTAATACATTTAAATAGGCCAGTCTAGATGTGGGTACACTGCTTCAAATAGCCTGGTCGTATGTAGTGAAGCCACTTCCATATTGGATTGACACATTTTTTGAAAATAAAGTTTTATTAGAACACAACACAGCACTTAAAGCTACATGGAGGAATTGGTTTTTGATCTTTGCTTTTTCCCAAGAAAGCAAAAGTCTCCTCAGCCATGAAGAGAACAGCAGTAAGTTGTCACACTAACAACAAAGTGAGTAACTTCTGTTGAGCTGCACATCTACTTGCTCAGACTGTGTGTTTACGCAGTGCTGTGAGAGGCTGATGAGCAACTGAGGCCAAGAGAAGGGGCTGATGTATGATACTGGAGACAGGCAGGGTGGAGAGAGAAGACATAAACCTGTACAGTAGATCAGGAAGGTCTGCAATGGGTTTAGTTCTCAGGAATTTAAAGGGAAAGTTGTTCTTGGTACACATTGTAACATGAAAAAAAAAAAAATTCAGACTCCAGCTACTTTCAGAGCTTCCATTTATCCACTGAAATTAAAAGGGTGTGTTCAGAATTATCATCTTATTTGTATATTGCAACTCTTTCAGGCCTACTTCCTCAGTGACTACTGAGCTAACACAAATTACTTGAAATATGTGATCTTCTGCTGAAAAGGGAATTTTGTGCAGTCAACATATTTCTGATATATCATGCAAGGCTGAATTCCTTTCATTTAACTCCAGCATGGGGCCAAGAGCATTGTGAGGATTCTCACCATGTCCCTGAATTTGAAAATCAACTAGAAAGAAAGATTGAGCCAAAATTCAAATGCATCCCGAGTAACTCTCACATGACAACTAGTACGTTGTGGATTAAATGTTCCAAAGTAAGCTGGGAAAGTAAGTCATGGAGCTAGAAGGACCTCTCAGTTTTGATAAATGTATTTTTAATGTTCTACATACAGAAATTAAATCAATGCAAAAAAGGTGAAGATGAAATACATTCTGTATTAAGCTCTGTTGTTGGGAATAGTCCAAGGCTGAGATACTGCTAACGTGACCACTGTTTAGATTTTGTCTATTTCATTAATTTTCACAGCACCTACTTTCAAAATATGGCAGTGCAAATAGGCGCTACCATCACCAAGATGGAGAAGTATGCCAGTTACCCTAATGCGTGCTCTGAAATGCCACTGTTAGCCCCTCTGGAAGAAGGTGATTAAGTGTGTCAGGTTCTTTGCTGTACCCAGCAGCTGTAACACTATCTCCAGTCGAAATTCTACTCACATTTCCCACGTATGAGCAGGCAGTACAGTTGCTTGATGATAGAGAATTTGTCTCTTCCATTTCCTCTCTAGGGAATATGCAAATTCTTTTACTTATTTATAAGTATATTATAAGTATACTCTTGGCAGAACAGTGGTTGAAGAACAGAGTTAACTTTAAGTTAACTTTAGTTCTTTCAAGGGTTATTTTATCTTGGAGAGCTAGAGGTTTGACATCTTCAGTTAAAACTCCCTCAGCTAAGTAAGAAGCGACCACCTTTCAGTTGTGCAGCCTTCCCCTCTCTGCAGCAGAGCATTATCGACTTGGTACCTCAGTTCCTGATAACCTGAGTTCATATCCTGAAAAACATACTTGGACTGATTGTTCAAAATTAAGGTACAGGACTGTGAACTGGATCGGCTGAGATGGATGTACATTGTCAATGCCATTGTTACAGGAACAGTAGAAACCTTGGCAGAGAAACATCTAGAGATGATAAAACTGTGAACACGCCCCACCTAGACTGAGCAGGGCACATAGCTGTCAGAGCCCAGGATTAACACATCATGAGAAGAGTTAACAAAACTTCACTAGTACTGCCTGCCACTTTTCTCGTAGAAAAAGCTCAGCATTCTGTTTAGGGTTATGCCTATATGCTATTTTGGTGAGGGCTCCATAACTGTGTAATCCTCATCTTGTCCTCTTCTGTGACAAGTGTCATCCAAAATTTGCCCTGTTAGTTCCCATTTCTCAGCAGGGAACACTGTAAACTCTATCATTTTGCCCTAGGCCATCTCCCATTTGACTTGCAATTATATAAAACAACATTAAGCAATTTCAGCACTGCAGATATTGAAACTACCTTTGTTGATTCTAACACCAACAGGAGCAACTGAAGCAGACGCTTACCTAAGCTGTTTCCTCCACAACCCTGCAAGATCCGCCTGGCTCGGTTTTTGGCATCTTCTGGAAAACTTGGGCTGTCCAACAGGTTTGGGTATGTACACAGTGCCACTACCTAGAGTGCCAAGAAAATGTAAATTGGCCACTTCTTAATGGTTATTTTAACTTGGTAATATTGCTGTTAACTTTCCTTGGAAATGAAGATCATAAATACGAGCTGATTTGAAACCAAAGTTAACAATGAAGAGTTTGCAGTTGGTTTTTAAGGGCAGTGCTTACAGAACTGAAGATATCTTACTGGGTTCCAAGTTCTGCTGATAGAAACATTCTAGTTGCTTCCATGATTCTAGTTATAGGATTATTAACTATTTGTATTATGGACAGTGAAGATTGGAGTCCAAGTAAACTATGCATAGTCCAAACACATTAAAACACTTAATTATTCATGTTGTCTTCCTTCACTCTGTGTGTACTGCTAAACCACTTTATTGACAATTAAAAGTTTCAGTATAGAGCGTAACTGAGAAATATGATCAAATTTTGAAGTCCCAGTTGCATGTTCTAATAATCCTACCCAAGATAACATATAGTTATTTCTAATTTGAATTTCTGGGAAATATTTAATTAAAAAAGAAGTGGTGATATAGAACATAGTAAAAGTAGAAACATGACCTAGTAGAGCTAAGCTTATGAAGGAATTTAAGACACAAAGAATCTAGAGGTCTTGTGGGACAAGGACTAAAGAATTAATCTGTGTATGCACAGTCATGGGAAGAAAGGATTTCTTGTTTATCCACTGTTTTCTTTAATTACCTCTGAATAATTTGTAAGAAGCTCTGATCTTCCTAGTTTGTTGACAGTTTGTTGTATAGTTCAATTTTATAATCTTATCACCTGGCCCCCCAGTTTGATAGTGCATTATTGATAATGATTGTGCTGACTGATAACATAGGAGAAGTGGCAGGAGAAAGGATGGATGGGGAAAGATCTGAAAAGTAAGGAAAGCTACCGTGATGAAAGAAGACACTCAGCAAGCAAGGTACAGGACTTTGTCTCAGAAAACAAAATTTGTAATTCTCTACAAAGGAACTATTTGAAGTCTAACTGCATCTGGAGAATCATTTATCCCAATACACACATCAGACAGATTTTGAGGCATTCTTGGTCATCTAATGAAAAATCAAGAATAATATTTTATAATATTCTTACCTGACGGAGGAAGGTAATTGGCCTCTGTCCCATTGCATGTGCATCTCCAATGTTGGCTTTAATTACTTCAGTAAAAGGTTTTTTGATTCCCTAAAAAGAGATAATTCACACTGTACTGTTAGGGCTGACGTAGATGATAAAGAATTCTTCTTTTTTGGTATCTGTCATATGGCTGTAACTAAACAGTGCCTAATCTCAGAACAGAGTGTTTAATTTCTTATACAATACTGCCAGTAAATCTTAAATGGTTTACAGAAATGGTGCTGACTATGACATTTTTAAATGATGGGCTGGGGTTTTCTTCTGCTACCCGCAAGTAAGAGAGTGACTTGGCTAGAAACTACACGTTGAAGTAGAAAAGATGAAAAAGGCATTTTGAATTGTCACTATTATAGCAACTTGTTTGACACACCTGAAGGAAGGATGGATCAGTCAAGAGCTAGAAAAAATTAAACACATCTGAGAAATCCAACAAAAGAAACCTCAAGCCCTTTAGTACTTTTTAGAGTAAAAAAAAAAAAATTAAAGATACTGTTTGTTTATTTATTTTCTATTTAGATGAAATATTCATTGTGTGATTATCCCATTTTTCCATATACAAATATCTTACAAAGTACATCATAGTGAGGATCTGTATGATAAACGGCAGAAGTACTAAATAAATACCACAAATATTTGAAATCTTCCTAATCTCTGAATCTGAACAGGCAGGTGGTTTTCCTGTGGGGAACTGAGAACAGAGGGAAGACAGTTGATAATTATTGATTAGCAGTCATAGCTCTTTAAAAAGCAGAATAAAATAAGGGGGAAAAGGCAAGAAACTTACTGGTAGAAAAGAACACCATTGATTTAAGTAAAAAAGATGAACTGAAAGTGAAGGTCAACATTACAAGAATAAATTAAGTAGGCAAGAATAAATTTAGAGCTTTTCTAACGTATACTGAACTATGAGAGATAGTAGGGAGGCCTTCTAACAGTGAAAGAATTTTCATGTGGACAAATAAACGCCAAAATTAGACCAATTAGTTTTCTGTAAAAAATTACATAAAACAACCTGCCCTGGCTGTGAACTGAACTCAGAAAACCTCTTCCTGGCCCATGTATTTGCATTAAGTTATTGGCTTTGGATATAGAATACGTGGCTGGCAAGCCTCAACTAAGTTTTGCTTTTCTACCATGGACTATGAGTTGGACTTCAGTGACAGACCAGAACCCAGATGTGCAAATATAACAATGACCAAAATATTAGTAGTCACCAGAGATACAAATTCCCAGGTATGCCAGGATTTGGAGGTTTACAGCTCTGTAATGTGGCTGAGAGGTAGGTTATGTGATAATGCAATTCAAATCCTCACTACAGATCAAGTCCATCATAGAATTGATAGCATTTAGGTTTTTCGTCTGAAATTAAATAGGTACTTAGAAAAGGTATTAAAAGAAGACAATTGGACTTGCATAATCCTGACTCAGAAGGCTCAAAGCATTTTATACGGCCTTAAATTTAGCAGGAATTGAAAAAAGTATCCACTTAATCTAAAGTGACACACTGACTCCATCAATGATTTGCTTTTATGTTTGCTGATCTAAGTGAATGCCTAAATAAGAGTTGTATTTTAACCTTAAATAAATAATTAGGAATAGAATCGTTGAATAATTTAGGCTGCAAAAGACCTTTAAGTTCATCAGGTTCAACCATTAACCTAAACCATGTCCATAAGCATCATATCTACACGACTTCTAAACAATCCAGGGATGGTAATCCAACCACTTCCCTGGGCAGCCTGTTCTGATGCTTAACAACCGTTTCAGTGATTTTTCCTAATACCCAGCCTAAACATCCCCTGATGCAACTTGAGGCCATTTCCTCTTGTCCTATCACTTGTTAGAAGAGACTGGCTCCATGACCTCCTTTCAGGTAGTTGTAGAGAGCGATAAGGTCTCCTCTGAGCCTTCTTTTCTTCACACTAAATAGCCCCAGTTCCCTCAGCCACTCCTCAAAAGACTTGTGCTCTAGGGATGCCAGATAGAGATTACTTGTATCTGAGACTGAAGTTTAGCAATTTATGAGAAATGCAAACAGCTAGAAATAGGTCCTCTTCAAACTCTCTGGGGTCCACTGATAACACAACATTGTTTCATTCTAATTTACAAATAAGCAGCAAAAGAAAGATACAGGTAGAAGAAGAACAATTCATTTTGCATGAAATTAAGAATAATTCCCACAGATTTTGGTTGCATTTGGTTCTTACAGCAAACTGACTTGGTCTTACTAGATTTGCACAGTAATATGAATTTGTTAAACAATAAGGGATGCCTTAAGTTAGGCAGTCTGAACACATACCAGTTCTCAGCAATAAGAAGAAACAGAAATACCCAGTTTTGCAAGATTAAAAACAGAGCAACAACAACAAAAAAAACCAACCAAACCTAACATAAAGATATGATGTTAGACAAATTAAATTTTTTTTTGCACACAAATACTATTGTGATCTCCAATAAAACTTGTGGCTTTCTTGGTTAATGAAATGCTGAAAGGTACCCTGCATTCCATAATATACCTTTGGAGACTTTACAGTGGTACAGCCTTTACAACAAAGGGAACAGACCCAGGCCTTTCTGGTGTCTGTGTCAGGTTTATTGTAAATAATGCTGTATCTTGTTAGCATTGATACCATCCAGGTCTCTGCTAGTGCTGACGTCAGTGTTAATGACATCGCTCCCTTTGGGCAGCAACTGCAAGCATCTACTCCACAAACCCTATGGTACCTTTGCTACTAAAATGATTGATCTGGACATAAGAGCAAAACAAACAGAACAGTTACCTTACTGTGAAGTCCTGGTAGGGAAGGAACAATTAGGTTTTCTGTGTTGTACCCACTGTTCCTACATACCTGCTTAAAGGCTTAAGGTCCTCTTGACTGACTTGTATTTCTTGGTCTCAGCTACAAGAGCTGTTGCCCTTTTTGGCTTTCAGAAAGAGAGATGCTTTGAAATAACCGGGGCCTTTGCCTTCCCTGACAGTGAGTTAATATCAGCCATTGTTTAGAACTGTCTTCATGAGATTCACTAGTAAAATCGAGGAGAAAAAAAAGAGGTTGCTATAACTACTTCATTTTTTTTCTCCTCTTTTTGTATTACTTCACTTCCAGTCTTTATATAGAAAGGAGGAATATCAGTTGTTGTTCAGATTTAGTTTTGATTCCTGCATAACAAAAAGTCCCATCTTCCAATTTCAGAAAGAAGGAACAGGAAACAGTAGTAGGCAGGAACAGATGTCAAATGCTAGTGAGTTAAAGTTTCAAAGCAAGGATATCAGAAGCCGGCATCAAGGGAAGTCTAGACAGTGCCTATGATTCTGCAGGTGAGTTCAAGGTGGAATCCTACTTAAATCCTTAAGAAACAGTCACAGGTTACTTGTGTCAAGGTTTCTCCTATGGTGGTAACGCTGTTGTGCGTGGGTACTCAAGGGAAAATTAATATCAAATACTTTTGGAAGGTCTATGAAAAGATCTGTATGAAAGGAGGAAGTGTGAATGTGATGCCGATAACCTCAACATCAGTCTATAAAACAGCAGGAACAGTGCTGCCAGAGAACATCGTTAGGGCAAGATCTATCTCAGTGCAGAAGGCTAAGCAGTCTTCTTAAACAGTCAGAAACATGCCTGTGCTGAGACAACTGAAGTCCCTGGCAAGCCAAGGAACATACAGGGGAAGCAGAAACTAGGCTACTGGAATTGTTTTGCTTTCTTCTAGTGCTAGAGAGCCGCCTGCTCTCTGCCCCTTTTTCTGTCTCTCACTCACAGTCCCTCTGTCTCTAACACAACCTCTCTTTCACTCTCATCCTCTCTAAGTAAGGGTAGGCTTTCAAGGTGTGTTCTAGAGGCAGTCTGATGGGATTGTAACTGGCCTCTGCCAGCAGGCAGAGATTTGGAAAAGTGAAGCTTGCAGAACAGGAGCTCTAATAACAAACTCAGGAGCAATAAGTACCAGATTGACACTCATGTCTACTGAAGAGGGTGTGAACCAGATCAAGGAGGAAAACCAGTCTCCAGCCCTACAAAACAACTACCGCTACAGCCTTTTCTGCCTTTGGCACATCACACTGTACTAACAACATGATTCATCTTCATCTTGGGAACAAAGTTTATCTTCTACCATTCTTTTGAAATGGTTAGCAAAGGGACTAACTGTAGTAGCCATTTTTAAAGGTGAAGAAGCCACCTTGCACTTTCAAATTCAGATTTAAAGCAGAAAATATAAAAATATGTTCATTTTTTTTTGTTGTTGCCGTCTTCTTGATAATGAAAGGATTTTAATGGAATGAAGGAATCTTCCCAGATTTGGAATGAGCTTTTTGGAAATTAGTTCCTTCAGCAGTTAATTCTGTCACTCTCTTCTTCTCATGGGAAATGCAGTCTTTTAAGAGACCAGATGAAAAGCCTCTGAAACCTGAAGCAGGTCAGACAGGATTATTCCAACAACTGTATTAGTGTTCTAAGTATCACACAAAGTTGGTAAAGAGATTTTCTTATGTGAACCAGTATTCATTGGTGCAGAGCCAATACAAAACTTCAGGTAGTAGTTAACCAGGTTTAGAGAATCTTCCTCTGCCCCTCGACATCATACCCATGGCCTCCAGAAACCCAGCAGGTAAGGAGGACAACATGAAATTGTGAGCTGACTCTCAAGGAGAGTCACCATGCAAGAAGTGTTGGGAAATTTATTTGATCAAAGAAACTATATGATGCCAGAACATAGGCCATCCCAAAGAACCAACATGAAGGCAATGGACTGCTAGGAGCTGATTTCTCTCTTAGGAGTTTTAGTATACCCGGAGGTTTCATTTACGATGGTGCCATCTAAGAATGCTGGCAACTTGCAAAATAACACTGTACCCAGAAAGAGGACAGAAGGGTGCAAACTGACCTAAAGCTCTCTTTGCTCAAGTCCTCAGCAAATTTCAAAGTAAAAGCCTCAGTCTGCAGCGAGACTCATGTAATTTGGACTTGGTAATAGCAATAGGAAAGAATTGAAAAAGGTTTCCTTGAGGAGGCTGTGAAAATGTGAGGTCCTTTTAATCCCAG